CAAAAAAATCCAAGAAGAGATACAATTAGAGATGCAGGTATTCGTATTCTTATACGAATATCCCCCCCACAGGTGGAAATATATTCTTATACGAATATCCCCCCCCACGGGTGGAAATCACGAGGGCCTGGCCCCATGAGGCTGGACAGTCCACTCATCATTCCGCCGCTGATGCCAGCTCAATGGAGCCTTCCTATCGTGCCATTGTCTGCAATGGATTAGCCACTCCTGGCAGGAGGTGGGATGAGAAGCCTCTCTTGCAGGTCACAGAGTGGCTAATCCATAGCAGACAACGGTGCGATAAGAAGGCTCTGTTGAGCTGGTGTCAGCGGCAGAATGGTGAGTGGACATGGGGCCACCTGGGGGGGGATATTCGTATTCATATAAGAATACGAATACCCCCATCTCTAGATATAATCATACAAGAGAGAACAAGAAAATATATTAATAGCATCCAGGAAACTCAGTTGTTGAAAGCAGCTTTGAATTGTTCTGTTTTCAGTGATTCCCTGAACATAAGGAGGGAAGGAGCCTGTTATATCTCTGCTGGTAACCTATTCCAGAGACTGGGCACCAGTACTAAGAAAGCCCGATCCCTTGTCTATGCCTTTCTGAGCTCCCTTTGTGCAGCCACGTTTAGCAACATGGATTAAGAGGAGTGGGTGAAACAGGTAGCTGATTCCTGGGAGAGGCATGCTGACAATTAACAAGGTCCTAAACCATTAAAGGCTCTATCGGTCATAACCAGCACTTTGAATTGAGCGTGGAAACTGACGGGGAGCCGATGAGTGTTCACCAAGAATATATGATCAAATTTTCTAATCACAGAAGAAGGTTTCCTTTATTACTGTGGTATGCTAGAATAAGTTAATTGTTTAATGCTAATAGAATAAATGTTGATAGTTCTTAAAGTAGAAAGTTAGTTACAGTTTACAAAAAAAATCACAACTGCATGCTGTAATAGTGAACCAAGCAAGTCCCCAGTTTGGTGGGGAAATACTCAAGTCACAAGCTGCCCTTAATTCATGCACATTTCTAAAACATAACATTAACATTTTCCCCCATTAATGCTTACTAATGTTAGAAGTTCTGAAATGAATTTTACAAATCTTTTTTTAAACAGGACCCTTAGTTTACTTAACTATAGTTAACCTACAAATGGCTAAAATGGCAATGCTCAGTGAGTTAGGTATGTGACTGCAGAGCCAGAAGTTGGCAGTTAAATTCCCCACTGTGCATTCTAGAGGAGCCAGCCTGTGTGATCTTGGGTAAGCTGGCAGTCCGAGGATTATCCCAGAAGAAGGGAAGAGTAAACCAGTTCTGAGTACTTTCTACCTACAAAATCCTTAGAAGGGTCATCATAAGAATTGACTTGATGGTACATGATTATTCATTATTAAACAATGATAAAGATGGAAAGAAATGGAATTTATGCAGGGGTTTAGCTGCATCCTTTCCTCTGATTGTTAATAGGAAACTAGCATCATGTGCACCCAAGACACTGTGTGAAAGGATCCTGTGGCTGAACCCATTGTTTCTGCTCTCTATTCAGCAAATTCAGAACGATATTTATTTATATTACAAGATAACAGAATTACATTTTTTCTTTGGAGTTATCCATTCTTTTGCAAATAATTTGTACAAAAAGAATACATAACAGAGATATGATATATACAAAGAGACACCTATAAAGTCTGGAAAGAAAATCTATATGTTGCACGCACAGTTAAAATTTTAGTGCAAGTACAGTTTAGTTGTGTCAGCAGTAGTGCTAACACTTACTTTTATTATCATTCCTTTTTCACTGCCTCATAAATAGGCAGCTAAAGAGTATGAGAATGAAAGGCTATTTTGTTTCCTGCCACTATCTCATCAGTGCTCGTAAATGAATTGTTAACCTCCTTGGAACAAAATGGAATTTATTAAAAAATGTATGCTAGCTTTCCTTGAGTAAACAATTTATCCTTCCTTTCAAGGCTAAAGGCAGGTTTGGGCCATGAAGGTTAATGCATTTTTACTGTAGAGCTAGATTAAAGAATGCGCTTGAATAGTCAAGATTCCCCAGTAGTGTTAGAAAGCAGCAATTAAAGGTTAGAGCTTAGTGATTTCAAACAAACTTTCAGAGCATTGATGATGGGCTTCTGGCAAGAATCCACATGTGAGAAGCTTATAGGGTACACTTAGCCATGGACATAGCCCTATATGTGTTCAGTGATGCATGTCCTTTAATTGCTTTGTTAAAGACACAAGATCTATAAAACAGCCTCAAACAAAATTAAGCATTTCTGTGTAAGAATTGAGAAGAATATCCACAGAAGTATATATAATTTTATAGCATTAAGATTACTGTTGATCTCCTACATGCAAAAATATTCCTTCATTATCACTCTGAAGAATGCAGAAAATTGAGTGTAACAGGTAGATTCTGTAGATGTTTATGAATCTGAACATTTAAATTGTTTTGCAAATATTAGTTTTAAATTTCCCCTGAAATACATTTTGCCTTAAACTTTCGCAGTTCAGGACTCAACCTTAATTCTTTTGGCTGAGTACATTCTCAGGAAAAAATTAAAACCTCCCCATCTTTCCTTACGTTGATTGCCTACAGGCAGCTATTTATATAGTATTAACTTAATGTGATTGCTAGAAAAACATGAGGTGATTATAATTCTAACCTCATATCATAACAGCGAGGAAGCAAAGAAGTAGACACTCCAGTCACCTTGGGCAACTGGTTTTTTGATATGGTAGAGTGATAGGCTACCATAAATAAATATAGTAGCTGCATTTGTGCAAAATTTGATATATTTAGAGTTCTTAGGGGCAGTTAAGGAAATAATTATGTTATGCATGGCTAGTTGCTTTTCAAAAAATATGTTTTTCTCTACCTTTCTACTTGACTTGAGCAGTAATGATGTGCTGAACTATTATCAAGGTTTACATGCACGAATCTATGTAGGCTGATTAGAATCACACTTGAGGGTCATTCTTAAGATTAAATAATAATGATTGTTTAATTCTTAATATGATTTGCTGTCTTTTTTCTCAGGAATGATTGTCCCAGCTCCTGTAATCCTACATTAATTCACACACTTTATTCCCCTTAATTATGTGCTCAAATGGGGTTGATTTATCATACCATAATAGCTACATATTTGTATAAATTTAATTCAAAAGAAGCTGTCTCTGTTATAAACCTATGCCTGGCGTCCATAATGGGCTGCATAATGGCAAACAAATTGAAACTTCATCCAGACAAGACACGGGTGCTCCTGGTGAATTTGAAGGCCAATAAGGGAATAGGGATGCAACCGGATGCTATATGAGGTTGCACTCCCCCCTGAAGACTCCAGTCTGCAGCTTGGATGTGCTCCTGGATTCATCCCTGAGCCTGGGTGCCCAGGTATCAGTGGTGGCCAGGAGTGTACTTGCACAGTTAATGCTGGTAGTCCCACTGGCCTGTTCCTGGAGATGTCTGATTTTGTTACTTGATACATACCTTAGTTATATCCCTCACTGATTACTGTAACATGTTGCATGAATGTGGATATGTCTTTGAAGATGGTTTGAAAATTTCAGCTGATTCAAAATGCAGCTCTCAGACTGCTGATTTGGGTCAGCTATAGGAGGCATATATAATGCCCTAGCTACAATTGCAGTGGCTACTACTGCATTTCTGGGCCCAATTCAAAGTGCTGGTCCCACCTATAAAGCCATATACAGCTTGGGTCTAGTCATTCTGAAGGACCAGATGAGCCTTTCAAGCCTTTAACGTCTTATAAGAAGGCTCTTCTCTTGGTCCAATTGTTGTTGCAGCCATGTTTGATGGGGACACGAGAGAAGGCCTTCATTTTGGGTGCTCCCAGCTTACTGAATGCTCTCCTTTGGGAGGCTAGGTTGACCAAATCCCTTTTATCCTTCAGCCAACAGTTGGTGGAAGGATAATGGGAAAGGGGCTGCTCTAACCAACCTCTTCAGGGAGGTTTTTTAATAACTTTGACTGAGATGCTGTGTGTGTGTGCGTGTGTTATTTTTCTAAACTTGATTTAGAATTTTTATTATTTTTAAATTAATTAATGGATTTTAAATACTTATTGCACTTTTACTTGCTTAATTAGGGGACCTTGGAGTTCTTGATGCCCCCCAAAATCTGCTTTTCATAGCCCCTATAATCACAAGAGAACTTTTTGATCCTTTTTTTTAAAAAAATGAAGAGTAGGGGTTGCTAGGTTGCAATGGTTGCTGTATTTGAGGCCAGCAAAGTCAAATGTGGGCCCATGAACTAAAGTTTGCTGACCCCTATTCTCAGACAGTTGAACACCAATGTAGCAGGGGATAAGAATTGCTCTTAAAATTCTAAAGGTGGCTTGTCACACATCACATATTGATGACAGGTGCCTTTCAGTGTCAAGTGAAATGTTTGGTTGGCTCACATAGTTTTAATATTTGTCATGGAAAAGGGGGAAAAGATAATGACAGAAATACTGTCAAAATGTTTGCAGATCAGGTGCGTGCCTGCACACATACAGAGAGAGCATTTTTGAAAATCTATAAAACATCATGGCATTAAGACCACCCCTACCTTTTAAATCCATATACAACACTTCACAGAGTGGATACGATTTTCTTCTTTTATCTTCAGTGTCAGCATCCTACCTGATTGCCTTCTGTGTTTGGAGTAACAGACACAGCAGGGTTAGGGTTTCATGGGGCGTTTCATATGCAACCAATGAGTGTTTTTCATTGATCTTACAACCAGGCCACAGCCCTAATGTATAGTATTAGAAGGTTTTTCCCTGGGAGGTGGGAAAGAGTGATAGACAACTATGACAGAAGGGGATGAAATAAACCTACAGTATGTATTTTCCTATGAAGGCCTTTTTTCTTTTTTCAAACATAGCTACCATCTTTTTAATACAAAAATTTTAAATGAATTGTGAGATGCAATATGATGTAAAAGATTGTGAAAATCTAGCAAAGTAATTTCAATTATATAGTAATGGAAGAGAATTATGAGCTAATTGGGGGCTTAACTGTGCCCTTCTCATGGAAAAGAATCTATGGAAAGTTTAATAACCACTTTATAAATTGTTTATACTGGTAAAGCTAATGGATTGGTTCCAGAATCTACCTTGTGTAGGTGAAAACCTCACTGCTGGAAAGTGCTTCCATCCTATTTCCAGACATCCACCCACCTCCATATGTCACTGCTCACTTTGTTCAGTAATATCCACTAACTCTCTGTATAGCATTCCCAGTAAAACCCTTGGGATCACAGTATTAGTGATGACAGTTTTCAGAAATTAACAAGCTCTGCCCTTTCCTGTGCCCCCCTGTGATGAAAGGCACGTGCTCCCAGGGAGCCTCAGGGGGAATTGGATTTTTAAAAATTTCTTAAAAACTGATGGTGTTGTCTGCCTTGTTTATATGTTATATATTTGTCCTGTCTTCCTTCACCCCCAAATTAAGCTCAAGACTATGTATGCGGCTCTCCTCCTCCATCACCTCTTTTTAATGAGACAGATCATGCTGAGAGAAGGTGACTGCCCTAAGGTTATGAGTACGTTTCACAGCCAAATGGGGATTTGAACCCATGTCTCCTAAGTCCCTGTCTAGCACTCTATCCTCTATACTACACAGGACGAGGACAGGGAACTCTATGCCACCCCACTTCCATAAGCCTCAGTCTGGATCTTATCTAAAGTTTTTCTACATTATGGGATATTTGGGCAAATGAGTTAACACAGAAGGGCTTGATCATCTGCTACAGTCTCTCACTAGGGAAATCCGAGCAGTCCCAAAACAAAAATGAGGGCATAACAACTATGATTAAGTAACGTCTCTGAGGCATTTCCCTTTTGATTCTGCAGTATGTTTGCATGGTCTTGGATATCTATTGAAACTCAACCAAAGTATGCTTGCTGTAGCATAAAATGTGTCATTCAAATGTGTTGTCCAGCTGTTTTATTTGGGTAGTATGCACATTTAGCATTTGTTGTTATTATTAATGGAAATTAATTCAGCTATCCTAGCTTATTAAGGAGTTTGTGCATGTGGCCCGTTTTTCTACCACAACTCATCAGGTCATTGCAAATGTAACATATTCTTACTGTCCAAGCCTAAACCTGGAGGGGAATTCATGCTTTTCCAAAGCTTGCAGTGTAGCTCACATAAATGATGTACAAAGTGCATATTTTGAGAAATGTGCACCAAAATATTTTATTCAGTAGAAGTGGGAAAGTTGAAAGGGCCAAGGGTCATTTGCACATCAGCAGAGGAACTCAGTACCAAATCACATGCTTTTGCTGTTCTGTTTCACTTTGTGGTGAGACACATTTTAAAAAAATGAAGGTAGATCTTGAACACTAAGGTGTTCAAACAGGTGTTCATTTTGTGAGTTCTGAAAGAGTTTTCTATATTTTTGTCAATAAATGGAGACATTTTGAATAGCAGAGTACAGATTTAAAGAGTCATCTGCCCTTATCCTTTGTAGTCTTTCTTAATTACATGAAGTAAAACATTAGCATATGAAATCTCCATCTATATAAATTATTAGTCTAAAATAGAGACATTAACCTGATGCATAATAATTGGTAGAGGAAGCTTGAATATGAATCAAGTAGGATTAAGGAATTATTTCTGTATACTAAATGTAAAATATCATTGAACTATTGTTTAGGAAATATTTGGATTCAGAGTGTAGGCGAATTCCTCTTAGTGTGCAACAAGGGATATTTAGAAAAAATGAATGAACTGGTTAAGTAAAGGAATTGACAAGAATGTCCTCAATCATTTCTACACATTTAGATATCTGACACTGGGACATATACATGTGTTGCTACAAGTTCAAGTGGAGAGACATCTTGGAGTGCTGTGCTAGATGTAACAGGTAAATGAACATTTTTACTGTATTATGGGCAAGCAGAGGAAAAATATTGATGGTGGAGGTGGATTAGATCAGCCATTCTTTTTTTGGTCATGGCTTGTATAGGAGCTCTTCTCAGGTTCCAGGGCCCCCTGTCGAACAAGAATACAAAACAAACAGATGAACAGAAAAAGAGATATTTTTTTCAATCTATAGTCCCCTTCAAATGTGCCAACACCACTCCCTCCCAAGGGCCATATGGCCCCTGTTGAGAATAGTTGGGTTAGATAGTTCAGGAGCCATACCTTTATTTGTGCCTATAGTTTCACTTATGGAAACAGTGTATCTTTACACATACAGTGGTGCCTCGCTTGACGACATTAATTTGTTCCAGCGAAATCACTGTAGAGTGAAATTGTCATCAAGCGTAAGTAAAAAACCCAATGAAACTCATTGCAAACCGTTCAGTGTGTTCCAATGGGCAAAATACCTGCTCGTAAAGCGAAAAATTGGTTCCTGAAGCAGGGAACTAATCAATGTTAAGTGAAATTCCCCCATCTAAACATCGTTTTGCCATCACAAAAGCGATCGCAAAAACTTCAGTGTTAAGCGGATTCGTTGTCAAGCGGGGTAATCATCCAGTGGGGCACCACTGTACAAAATTCCAGTCATGCAAAGAGCTTTGCTCCTTTCCTTCTCCATGCAACCTCTCCTCTTCAAAGCAGGTTTTGCACAGAAGGTGAAATCACCTTCTTATTCTGTTGTTAGAAGTCATTTGATCAAGAAAAGGGTTAACTGAATGTGCCCCAAAATGATGTGTACAGACACTCCTCACTTAATGACCTACGTGTTTAATGACTGCTTGGACTTACAACCAGTTCTCCAGTATGGGGAATCCCCTTTCTCAGTCTTTGTCTCATTCTGCTGCCAAACCAGCCAGGATCAATGTCCAAGCTTCCCAAAATGGCCCCCTTGCCCATTGTGGGGGCTCTCAAACCAGCCAGGAGCAATGCATAAGCTTTCATTTGTTTAGGGTTTTTTTACCAAGCTGGTGGCAACACTGCTGCTGCTGCTGCTGTTCCAGCTGGCTCAAGCTCCTTCCTGCTTCTGCATTTAAGTTCCTCGTTTATTGACCAATTTGCTTAATGACCGAATTGTAAGAACAGAACTCAGTCATTAAGGGAGGAGTGCCTGTACACAATTTTGTTCACTGAATTAAAAGTAGGTTCCACACCTTGAGCCAGAGTGGCCCTTTAATATATTAATAACCCATGTGTCTTTCCCATGTCCCTCAAACTGCAGAGATGGAGATAAGTGAGTACGGATCCTTAGCAGGCAACAATTTAAGTAGCAGGATGCATTCACATTTGTGGTTAATTTGGGTAAGCCCACTTAAAAGACATTTTGTTACTTTCAGTGTCTGTTTAAATCTGGTTGAAGGATCCAAATAAATGTTATTGTTAAGTTTGCTGGAATTCTTCATCACAAATGAAAATACAGGTAGTTAAACTGACTACCTTTTCCTATTCTATGTGTTGCTTGATTTATCCTCAGCTGTAGAACAACACATTTTGCATCCTGGAGTCTTAGGTTCTTTCATATCCATTCAAGGAGTTTCAGCAGCTGAGCTGGAAAATGCTTCTGGAAAATGCTTCAATCAGCCTATTTGAGTAGGCTGATTGAGACAGACCAATGGCCAATCTCAATTTAAGGCATCTTCATGTATCTAAGCTAAAAATGTTGTGATGGGAAAAGTGCCAACTGTCAAGCTTCTCTCTGTTTAAGCCAAGCAACCTCTGTCAAGAAGAAAATGCATTAGTCTATTCTAAGGGGTTGTGTCGAGTGAATATGCTAATATTAACTCAAATTAGTGTGGTCTTTTCAGACAGAGTATATACACATCACCTTCTACTATTCTCTTGGTTCATATCAGATTGGGTTACTATGCTACCTCCCTTCCATTCAGGCATTTGAGATTCTCTGTTTTCACATGTGGAGGAATGGTAGGTTCTGCTCATTCTCATAGAATACAAAGTTCTTCAGCACTAGAACAGCAACCTTGTGCCTACAGCTTTTTGTACAGGGACTCTGCTAGTAACTGGGGCAAAACCACCCACACATGAAGCCATACAGTGAAGCTAGGTATATACAAGACAGAGCTAAAACATGCCTTTTTTTTTCCAAATGTGTTCAACTTTAATTCTAACCTTTTCTTTGTTAAAACAGGTTTTGTTTGTTTATTTCTTTTAAAAGTGTAAATTGTTACCATTTGTCTTCTACAGAATCTGGGGGGGCACCAGTTAGCAAAAATTATGATTTAAATGACCTGCCTGGGCCACCATCCAAACCTCAGGTCACTGATGTCACTAAGAATAGTGTCACCTTGTCTTGGCAGCCTGGCACCCCTGGAAACCTTCCAACTAGTGCATACGTTATTGAGGCTTTTAGGTATGTTCAGAATCTGTTGTTTTTGTATGTCAGTATTATTATGGCCATTTGCAGGTTTGTCAGAGAGATAAGATATAATGGTAAAAAAATGTTTATGCATATGTGATATGACTTTAAAACTAAAACAGTGAATGAACAGGTCCTGAAATATACTCCATTGGTTGGATTTGCAGGGATACAGATTGACCAGCCTTTCATTTTAGAGGCAGTACAAACACAAAGTAATGACAATGATATCCAAATCAGAATTCTGGCCAGTGATTGAAATATTTTTCACTTACCATTGGAGTTATTCAGAAGTTTTTTGACTGCCTTATGTTCATTGTAATATATATTCATCATTCATTCATAACAGAACGCTCAGAGAAATGAAATTGTGCTCTCTGATATCTGCAAAGGCACTTAATTGACACAAAATTGAACAGCAGTGACATCCCATCAGGCTGACTGGGATGCCATACATTTCTGTTGATATATTTAATAGCACAGGGAAGGCATAGTGCTTTGATCTATCTTTATGAGAGTCTTGTCAGTAATTAAACAGGAAAAGTAGTCACCCAGTATTATTCTTTTGTAGGTTTTTGTAGGTTTTGTAATTTTGCATGCCAGCTTTGGGCAAAAAGGGCCAAAGCGTTTACACATCTTTTGTATTCCATTTTATTGAAAGTATTCATTTCGCAGAGTTGAGTTTTTTAAAAATGTGTGTTCAAAAAAGGTGTTTCTACCTACAATTTCTATTTTGCAGACATTCTTTCCTGATATGCTATTAAGTGTCACTAAAGAAATCATAATTGTAAGCTATTTTGTTTGTGTTGTACTCCCTGTTGATTAACTCAGCTGATACAGTTATAACTAGCTTATAGCCTTAATAATGTCTTGTAAATTTATTTTGCTTCAGTGATTTACAGCAGAAGATTGAAATTCAGCCCTGAGAATTTTCTAACCTTGCCTTCCTTTGATCAATAGTCTTCCAATATATTTTCATTTCAGCCAGTCGGTGAGCAATAGTTGGCAAACGGTTGCTAATCATGTAAAAACAACACCTTACACTGTGAGAGGACTCCGTCCAAATACGATTTACCTGTTTATGGTGAGAGCTATCAACTCACAAGGTTTGAGTGACCCCAGCACCATGTCAGACCCTGTCCGAACCCAAGGTAACTTCATTCTGGTTTTCAGGCAACACCTTTGAAGTTCACAAAATATAAATAGTATGTTCTCCCTGCCCCTTTGTCATGCAATTCTAATATACCTTTCTGTCTTAACATGGCTAAGAAATAAAATCCAGGACAGGGCTATGGTAGTGAGTGAATGATCTACGAATATATCAAGCATATAGTGAATGTAAGCAGAAAGTTTTGTTGTTGGACAAAAGTGAGTAATGAAGTGCCCAAAGGATTTGGGATTAGTGCTATTCAAAATTCATATATAATCTGAAGACAGGGAATGCCAGCAAAGTAGTTAAAACTACAAATGACATTAAACTATCCAGGGTAGTGAAATGACTAGTGGTGTCATAAATCCCTTCAAGTCCCCAGCTGAAATCTTCCCCCAACATTCTTATTTGCTTTTCCTTCCAACATCCCTCGGAACAATAATTAGCTTTTTCTTCTCCCTGCATCTCCCCCCTAACTGGTGCTCTGCTTGTTCTCACTTCTCCTTCACTCCCCACCTTCTTTTCTCTTTTAACTTTCAGAATGGGTTTGGCACCCTGCAGAAGAAGCTATAGACATATGTTATATTTTCATTTCTCCATGATTGCATCTAGGTGGCCATATTGGCTCAGAGACTCATTGGGGGAGTCAACATAATGGATGTAATGCTGCCCTCACTCTTCCCAAACTCTCATAAAAAAGTAACAGGGTTGCTGCTTCATAATAAGAGGGAAGATTAGTGGAGTGACTCATGACAGGGCAATGGGAAATTGCAAAAAGAAGAGACAGTAGGGTGGGAAAATAGGAGGAGCAAAAAGAAGGAGAAACAGCAACAGTTAGAGGGGAAGAGAGAATGCAGTGAGGTGTGAAATAACTACAAGATAGGAAAGGGGATAAGGAAAAGAGTGCCAAAGTAGAAGGGACAAGCAGAGGGTAGGAGAGGTAGTTTGCAGGAAGTGGTCTCCAAAAGGTATCTTTGCCATGCCTCCTTAACCATGACAGTGTCAATGGAAATTCTAAATTATCTGCAAATTGTTCAAAAAAGGACATCCACAAGCATGATAAAAGGCAGTGAAATAATGAACTTTTTAAAATTAGCTATCTGTATTACTCTTTAGCTCAATCATTATCAGGATGGCAGAATTCAGTAAGTTTCTCCAAAGTGAATTATCAGTTTTTAAAAGCATAACTTGCCAAATGTTCCAATGGGAGTCTAAACTAATTATGACCATTGAGGCAAGAAATATTATAGCTGTGACAGACAGCTTCATGAACATGCTGATTCAGTATGCAGAAAAAAGAATAAGGATATGAGAGAACTTATTAGAAAAGGTATTGTGTATGGAATTTCCTATAGCAATTGAATAGATAGATACAAACGTGAGAACAGAATGTTGGATTAAGTGGATCAAGACAGCAGGAGTCCTTTTCTTCTCTTTAAGCCCTCTATACCATGAGTGATCTGGCAGAATAAGCAGCAGCAGTAAAGTTGGGAAAGATGGCTCCTTGCTCTGCCTATGACTGTGGCCTCGTGGATGGATGGATGGATGGATGGATGGATGGATGGATGGATGGATGGATGGATGGATGGATGGATGGATGGATGGATGGATGGATGGATGGATGGATGGATGGATGGTAATAGGGAATGAGAATGGATGAAATTCCCAATATCAGCTTCTTGTAACCAATTGTTAATTGATCAAAATCGGATTACTACAGAACTGGTAGTCAAATTTTGGGCGGCATGCCATAGTAGACAGAATAGATAGCCAAACTTAGACATTGGTCAAATTTTGGGCGGCATGCCACAGTAGGCAGAATAGATAGCCAAACTTAGACATTGGTCTTACATTGTCATATTTGTAGTTTTAGTGTCTTTTGCTTATTTGACTTGGCTTTTTATAGTATATGCCACTACTTGAAGCTCTGCATTTAATTTTGTTTTATTTATATGGCTCGATGCTGTAACAACAATAAAGTAAAGTATATCAACTTCTTTACTTTTAATTTCAATGCCTGATTGTGATCATTATTGTACCAATTAGAAGATGTGGCAACCAGACTATGTTAAGAAGTGGAGCAGGTAGCAGGACTGGGCAAAGGACCTCACCTTCTTATAAAAACTATTAAATCTAATAGGTCTTTAGCCAAGGCCAAATGCATAGAAACCATTTGCCCACGTCAGATTCCCTATGCAGGATAGCTTGAACAAAGATAGAAAACAGTATATGTATATATGAGGAGCATATATGTTTTATTTCAAAGGTCCTACATTTTTGGAAGGTGAAAATGAAGCAGCATGAAGCAGCTAAACAGGCTGTGATCCAAAACCACAGCTCACTCCCCTTCCCTTGTGCCTGTTTAGCAGGCTGGGTGGGCTTCCCCAACTACCCACAGCATTGATAGGCAGTATTGCTGTAATAAAAACATTTCAATAAATGTCCTAATTTTAGGGAAGCAACAATGCAATGAATCTGTTTTAGGTACAGTCAGGTATGACATGGAGGCACATTCACTCTAAGCCCTTTCTAAAAGAATTAGTAAGAAACCACACTGACAGTGACATTTGCACTGCCAATTGGCAAAGCAATGTGCTGAACTGTGTATTTCATTCATCCAAAGCTCTTGGCATTTGATCTACATCTGCCTAAAGTATAATGGTATGTTATCTGTGTCCAGTCTCTTCACCATGTGTTTATTGGCATTTGATCTATGTCTGCCTAAAATATAATGGTATGTTATCTGTGTCCAATGTCTTCACCGTGTGTTCTTCCATGATATCCAAAATGGGGGGGGGGGGAAGAGCTTTAATTAATTTCTGCAACTTTTCTTCTCTTAAAAGGATGATATAAATAAATACAGATTATTTTGTTGCAAGCTATTTATTCCTGTTTGGACTTATAAGTCATAAAACTGTTCCAAAAGCAAAAAAACAAACAAACAAAAAACCATGGAAGTAATGTCAAAATTCTATTATCACTATTGTGTAAAGGAATGCAGACATATTACTGCCCTTATGGAAACAACTTATCTATCATTCACAAACCTGCATAAAGGCTGGCCCACAAAGGACTGTTTGGAGTAACATAGGCCCTTGTATGTGAATTTCTTCATTGTTCAATGTTCTACGTTATTTGCTGCCCACCGGGCTTCTGCAAATCAAGGACACCAGTGTTTTTTCGTACTGAAACCCAGCTTCCATCTACAGACTGAATTCACTAGACAAAGGGCTGACAATGTTTCTTGAATGTGTGGCAGAGCAGAATTGAAAGTAATGCCCATGTTCCCAGACCCCATGCCTCCAGCTACCCTTATCCATGAAAGTCTTCCAAGGAAGTCTAAGAAACAACATCCCTTGTTTCCTGGATTTGCTACGAGTCCTCCTTCCTGCTGTCCTTAATGTTGTTAATGACACTGACCAAGAACAGCTGACAGCTTCTATCATCGGATTCTGCCTGACAGACTGATAAAATATTTTTTTTCTCATTGAAATAGTTCTTTTTGTTTGCACTGAAGTTTCTGTTTTCATAAGCTGTCGGCCAGCCCCATGAGCTCCAGCATGTACAACACTGACAGCCTTTGTGGTAGCCTGTAGTTTGGTGAAATTACATAATGAATTAAAATGACACTTAGCATAATATTTTGATTGAATTTCAGATGGCGCTTTCATCCAAATCAACTTCACAAAGAAAGCTGACATCTTGGAGTGGGGGGGGGAGTATTCATACTAGCCATGACAAAATAGAGAATCAGCTTAAAGCAACGATGCACGTTATCAGTTAGGTAGCTGTCCGTGACCACTTACTTCAGTGCCCTGAAAGAACTGTAGCAACTGTCATTATATATACTGGCTACCTTTGTAATAATAAGCTACAATTAACATTGAACCTTGTTACTTGAAGTGTCCTTATTAGCAGATTCCTTTTATTCATCCATGTGAATCTACTTTTTTTTTCTTTCATCAAACAGTTGTGATGCTTTCACTGGGTGGCAGAAAACAGTACTGGCCCCTGCAGTGATTCTGCAGCTAAACTCCTGTTGTATAGTTACACAAAAGGTATAACTTTTGGAAACAAACTGCCATAGGTGCAACATATAATGTTTATGGAGATTTCTGATATTTTGCTTCTAAAAAGTATGCTGTTTGTGCAATTGTGCAACAGGATTTCAACCACGGAGTCTAATAATCCCTAAATAATAGGTGATCATTAAAATATCGACTTTACCAAACAATTTCTACCATTTTCATTACAGTCACGTACTAAGTGTTTCCCCAATCTCACTGTAGCACTATCCATCAGGGTCTGTTTTTAATTCAAGACTTTATTTCAAGTCCTAAAGACACATCGTTTCAAAGCTAACAGCCAAAATTCTATTCTGCTTTTTGAGGAATAACATTTCTATTTCCCATTGTGCAGTGGAGTGTGCAACAGGACACACAATCACTTGTGCAATCAAGAGGACACTGGATGCCTGAAGGAGACCCTGAGAATCAGTTTAAAACACTTTCATGATTGTCCTCAAGGGATCACATAGGGTACTGGCTTCTGGACAGTGTCAGTCATTTGCTGGCTATCAATATTGACGTTTATTGGATTAGGAAGAACTCCAGGCATGCAGAGGGTAGTGGAGTTTTTTAAAAATGCTTTAAGACTTTAACAATTCAGTACAGTGGTGCCTCGCATTACAACATTAATTCATTCCAGGGAAATTGCTGTAGAACGAAAATGTAATGCGAAATAAAAAAGCCCATAGAACCGCATTAAAACCTGATTAATGTGTTCCTATGGGCTTGAAACTCACTGTCCAGTGAAGATCCTCCATAGCGCAGCCATTGTCGCTGCCCGTGCAGCAAGGAATCCGTCCCAGAAAAGAGCAGGGAGCCATTTTTTTTAACCCAGTGGCCATTTTGGAACCGTCGATCAGCTGACCGAAAACCGTCGTTTTGCAAGAATCGGTTCCCGAAGTAGGGAACTGATCATCGCAAAGCAAAAAAAACC